CGTTAAATTTTCCTTTCTTCTCTGGCTTGTTCGCACATTGGAATTCTGAAATCTTAGCGAAAATAAACAATTCTAAATTTTTAAAATCTATTTGCACCACCTGTCTTTCAATATACCTCTTTCTCAATTTCAAAATTTTCACAGTTGCCAGTTGGTGCTCTGTTTATCATCGTATTAGGTTCCTTAGATAACTGTAAAAAACTAGTTACAATTTGTATAAACTTCTTACTCCCTGATTCGAGGATTGGACAAATTGTGATGGCCAAAATAACTTACTTCAGTTACCATAAAAAAGGCGAAGTTAGCATTTAAGGTTTCCTCTGATTAAACCAAAAAAACATTGTTTATCATTTTTTTAGCTGTTCGTTCAAACTGCTTTTTTTTTTTTCGCAAAATTTTCCTCGTTTTTTCCTCATTTAGAAGGATTGTTAAACTGTGCAGTCTGCTTTTACTTCTCCAGTTTTTATCTCTTCCCCCCACCCTAAAAAAAGTTACTTTTCCACTGGTTAACTATTAAAATCATCCAGTATCCCCCATAATCCATACACTTAAGTACTTTTTTTGAAAAGTTCACTGGCATATTCAATTAGTAATTAAATTTTCATTGAACGGGTTAAAAGTCTCTTCTTCTTACCAATTTTTTATCCTACATGTTTTACTCATTCTTATAAAATGCCTCTAAAACAAAGGAAACTTTTGTACAGTAACCCCGGACCCTTTGTTAGTTTGCCTTCTGCTGCTGACTTTGTAATATCAATGACAACATTAATTCCGGCTTCTATATATAATTCACTTTTAGCCAAACTCTGACTAAAGAATAAGTGCGCAAAGCATTGCTTCAATTGTTTGCCCTTGCCTTCAGATTTCTTCATTTACACTACAGAACTACGAGGATTCGTAATTTTTGAGGATTTTTAGGCGTTTATAACAGTGAATGACAGAAAGTTTATATTAAAGCAAAACTTCCTGATTGCCAAATGTTGTAATTTTTGTTTTGAGCTCGAAAATTAATTTTCAGTCACTTTTCTGCTTGACTGCATAAAACTTTTATAAGTTAGAAGTTCTTAACTTTTATACACCAATTAGTAATCTTCTTGAATTCCTTCAAACACGAGGACGACAGCTCCTACAGGTTTCTTGATTTTCATTAGGGAGTGTTTTATTCTGTCAGTCAAAATTTTCTTCTAGCTCTCATTACTTTGTAAGTTGAACAGACATAAGCAACCCTGGTTAATCACTGGGGTGTTTTGAAGGGACTTCAGAGAAAGGCTACTGTAGAATCTTACAGTCACTTTCATCTGAATAAAATACGTTTGATACCAGATTGATTCAATTCCTAAACCTCGCCTCAGTGAAAAGCGGTACAAAAATTCTATGTCTTTTTATTTTTATCTTTGTTGAAAAGAAGTCTTTTCCATACCAATATTGACGAAATTGCAAATGTAATAGTCAAAAAAAAAAAATGTATTTGAAAGCGGCGGAAAGTTTTATTAACCTTCCGCACCAGCATTTCCTTAGTACGCTACATCACCCCTCTAACAGTGTTGCCTGTGGAAAAAACATATTATGTGTTTTAATTTTACTTTTACTTTTTTTTTTTTTTGCCAACTCTGTTTACAATTGGGATTCCATAATCATATCTTGAGTCATATTTTGAGTCATAACTTCAAGCAAAAACATTAAAGTACACAGGATGTTCTCAAGAAGTATGAAGAATTTTTTGGGAGCACCAATACGGTACAACTTTTAGAATGTTTAACTAACGCCTGGAACGCTGTTGGCTTAAGGAAAGAAAATCCTAAACATCTGTGCGGTGATGCGTTCTAAACCATTTTTCAGACTATACCAAAGATGTAACTACTGCGGATTCCAGAAGCTTATCAACAATGAAAAACAAATTTTTTTTCTATTTAGAAATTAATTTGAAATCCAAGACAACCGCAATTAAATTTCTTGTTTAACTGATGAAAGTTTCAAAAGAAGAAACTTAAAAGATATGCTTGTTACTCACTTGCTCAAATCTGACTCATGTTTTGCTGAGTAGTTCAGAAATCACAGATTGTTTCAGTTTTGTCAAAGTGCTCTGGCTTTAAGCTAGACTTACACAGAATGCCAGTAAACTATATAAACCCGATTTATCCATTGTCAATCCAGATGCACTTTAAAAATAAAAGATTTATTTTACGGCACATTTGCAAATTGGTGTATTTTCCCATCTGGCAATGTTCCAATTTTTTTTTGGTTGTTTGCCGGTATCATCCAGCAGCTGTGTTTTTCGATCCCATCAATGGACAGTGGTTGAGCTTTTTGCTTTAATAGAGCGTTTGTCAAGATGTAATAAGCGTGCATTTATATCAGGTTTCTCATTCAGTTTTTTCTCAAACTACACTTTTATTCTATGTAAATCAAAATTTGTAAGGAATAAATTGTTTTTTTTCTTTATCTTTTTGCTGGTTTTGGCAAACGCTCAAAAAGAGGTTTGTTTCATCTGTTAACAGTTGTTAATCCCGTAAAAGTGACTGCTTTTTTAATGTGCTCTCCATATTTTACAGAAGATGCTACTGGTATACAAATAAATGAAGATATAATTTTTTTTCTTCTATATATTTATATCTTATAGTTGTTTAGACACGCAGATAATATTTTGCGTATCATGGCAGTCTGATAACTCAATAATCGCCTAAGTAACTGCTAGTTAAAGTTATTGAAGTGTCTTGTTATTTAGGTGGCGTTCCACATATCGTCGTCAGTTGTATGAAAAATCAGAGGTGAGGGGTTATTCAGGTGTTGGTGTTGTTGTCAAAATAATTGAAAACTTATAGTGAATTATTTTACAGTTATTGGAATTGCTTTCTTTTCCTTTTGGAAGGCATGAAATGATTTAAGTTCCTCCCTGTCTGTTTCGTTTGAAAAAAATATTGACAGGGATTTTTTTTTTGTTTGGTTTTTGCCCCGTTCATTATTACACAATAGAATTTAGTTGTGTCATTAACTTTTAAACGTATTTTCTCGCGTTGGTACTTTTTTTTGTTCATTTTTTTTCCTTTGACCATTATTGTTCAGCAGAGTTTTGCAGCCCCATATCCAGTAATGCCTAGCGGCAAAGAAACAAGAAATACTGTAACATCAAAGCCGCCAATGTCTTTTGACGATGCTCTCCTGAAAGCACTTAATCATAGTACTACGCATCATGCATTTGATGGTTATATTTTACCTGGATTTCGTGTCTGGCAGCTGTGTGCAATTCTGTTTGGAATTGCTATTGTAATAGGTATGCTAGGAATCTGGTCATTTTTCTTTTACTGTGTGTATATTTCTCCTCACGGTTGGTATAATTCAGTTCTGTGCTTTATAAGCCTTTTTAAAATTTCTCTTTTTAATGCGGACAAGGTAACGCTTCATTTTCTATAGAAGATATTCGAATGTTTTGATTGAAACACTTACAGAAAACCAGCAATTTTACGCTTGTTTACAGTTGTCGTTGTTTGTTGTTTTTCAAGAGTTCGTATACCACGCACAAAGCGACAGATAGAATTAAGTGCAGCTAAGCGGAAAATGCGAAAAAAGCACATCGAACAAAAGCAACAAAATCTACAGTCTTATCCGCAAGGTATTTTTTATTTTGTGCTTGCTTTTCTTTTTTTCCTGGTTTGCTTTGTTTTTTTCTTTCTTCTCAACTTTTTTGGCTGTCTTAAAGTTAATTAAAGGCTTGACTGTTATTTTCTATCGAGTTGTTACAGTAAGATGCAGCTGAGGGGGATAATTGAATAGAAAAGTGAATGTAAGTGCGGATAAATAAACGGAACGAAA